TTCGACAACCCTGTCGAGAGATGAATGTTGCTGACTGCTTGCTTATCCAGTTATGCCAACTTTAGTAACGACCACAGATAGCAACACAGAGAGCCACACGCTCAACCAACAGGCCACTCTATAGCCACAAATAATGCTCAGAACAGCACCTAACTTCTTCAACAGTACATATAGGGTCCCAGCCATAGTACTAGCCACCAAACATCTTTTTAACTTTGCCTGATTTCTTCAGCAAAGAGACTAAACACAACTCACCTACTCTCTTGCAGCAGCTGCTTGTTTGTTAGCGAGACCTCGGGTGAGTCCATCGACAAAAGCGGGGTGTCGCAGCTCAAGGAAGAACATTTATGATCATTTCTTTATGGAAATGCAATCAGACCAAGACGCTAAGGCAGAAGAACTACTTTGTCTGCAGTGCAAAATGATCAATATAATAATTATTACTTCAAGGAAATGATAAAGTAATGATTATAAATGTTCTTACTTGAGCTGCGTCACCCCACTGTAGTTGATGGACCGGCCCGAGGTCTCGCTACAAACAAGCAGCTGCTGGAAGAGAGAGGGTGAGTTGTGTTTAGTCTCTTTGCTAAAGAAATTAGGCAAATTAAAAAGATGTTTGGTGGCAAGTACCATGGCTGGGACCCTATATGAACTGTTGATGAAGTTAGGTGCTGTTCTAAGCATTATTTGTGGCTATAGAGTGGCTTTTTGGTTGAGCGTGTGGCTCTCTGTATTGTTATCGTGTGGTCGTTACTAGACTGCACTTGGTAACTAGAGAACATTCGGCAATATTCATCTCTTGACGGGGTGTCTAACCACAAGAACCACAGTGGTCTTTCTCTTACTCTAGCTGTCCAAACCCATGCTTTGTAAAGAGCATGAGAACTTTCACAGCATACTGGCAATTATTAGGCGACATACTGAGTGTAGCTTAACTATTATCACAGTCATTATTAACAGTGTCATTTTTATAGTCAATAAGTACCAAAGGGTGATGTTTCATGTAGCTTTAACAATCACTGCATATTGAGCAGTCATTAATCAGCGTGGTTTTAAACTGAACAGACATTTTTTACCATGCAGTGTGAATGTGAATGTGGAAGAGTTCAAACCTGCACATTGTGTTTTCAGTGTGAGGGTCACTTTTATTCTGCAGCAGGGTTCTGTATTCAGGATTTTTCTCAGAGTTCAGGTACAGCAGGAGTTCAGCCTGCAGGCTGTGGCAACATGAATCAACAGCAAAAAGGTGAACGGTCTTTCTAGGCTGCTACTGAGGTTCAGCTGGAGGAGGGAGAGGAGTGGGGAAGGGGAGATATTAATACAAGTGAGGCAGAGGGTTGAGGAGAGGGAGAAGAAAGCAAAGGAAAGGAATTGGAAAAAGTGAGTTAGTGAGAGGGGTGAGAAAGAAGTAGTGAGAAGGAAAAGCGACCAAAAGGAGTCAAGAGAGGTAATAAGAAAAAGGAGTAAAAAGGAGGGGTAGAGAAAAGAGGTGAGGGATAGAGGCGTGAATTAGGTATGAGGGAGTGGGTTAGAAGAAGAAGAGAGGAAGTAAAGTAAGAAGGAAAAGTTAGGAGAGATAAGAAGGGAAAGGAGCGAGGGTGAGAAGCATGCTGCAGTTTGAAGTTTTTCGACTTTGTTAAAAGAATAATTTCTTTGTCCTCTTAAGTCATGCATGCAGGGTTCAGTGGTTTGTTTATTAGTTTGTTTTGTCTGTTTCACTTTATTACATTTTTTGATTATTCCATTTATAATTGACATCAGCCTGTTTGTAATTTTAAGTAGAGATGTGATTCTTCCCCCTGATAAGATGATTCACTACAATTACTTACAATATAATGTGATGCAATACAATGAAAACCTGAGCCAACTGGATTACCGCTTGAAACAAGTCAATCAACCAGTTCATAAGGCCAATTCAGACTGCTGTGGTTCAGCTCGATCAGATCTAAAACAATACAGTCATCAAACAGTTTAGATTTTAAACAGTCAAGATAAGTTCAACTTCAACACCTCTGATCTTTAATCTCTGATTTATCATTATTGATTGATAACAGCATTGTCTACACACTTCAGAGAGTATATTGTTTTATCATAATGTATTTCTATTGTGTCTCTGGAGGACTATGAACCCTGCAGAATCAGTGTGTGTGTGTGTGTGTGTGTGTGTGTGTGTGTGTGTGTGTGTGTGTGTGTGTGTGTGTATGTGTGTGTGTATTGATTGATTAGCTGTCACGTGTCTAAAAAAGTTCTCTGCTGATGTTTTCTTTTCTACTTTGTCAGTCTGCAACCCAACATCCACACAGTCTTATTAAATCTCTCCCTCTCTCTCCCTCTTTCCCCCTCTCTTTCTCTCTCTTTGGGAGTGTTGCTTTAATAGTTTTCTGTTGTCATGGTGATGATTGATGTTTCTTGTTTCACCTGACAGAAAGGTGAAATGGAGTCACTCACTCTGAGAGAGAGGTGTGTAGAGAGTCAGGGTGTGCAGAAGTGTGTGTAAATAAAATATACTTATGTGTGTGTGTGTGTGTGTGTGTGTGTGTGTGTGTGTGTGTGTGTGTGTGTGTGTGTGTGTGTGTGTGTGTGTGTGTGTGTGTGTGTGTGTGTGTGTGTGTGTGTGTTGGTGTGTCATTTGTATTATCAAGAGTTATTACCCTCTGCTTTAACTTAATGATGATGTGTTGAGTAAGGAATCAGGAATATGGCAAGCCACAAAATAAAATGTCAACAAAGTGTAGCCCTCCACCTTGTTTTGGGGTCTTTTCCATCCTGTTTGACACATAACCAGTAGCTCTAACCCTCATACATTTCCTGTTACGGTTATAAATCACATTACCTTACATGCCATTGTACATTTCTTATGAATATCACACTGGGATTTATCCATATCACCAGCTGTGGCTGTAACCTGTTTGGAAAAGACTTCATTGTTTGTCATGCTTTTTTTTGGATATTTTTTCAGTCTTTTACTGAAGTTGCTTTATTTTCCGCATGGTAGAGGTATTCTTCTATTCTAAATAAATAAAAAAAACACAAACTAGAGTGTTGTTTTTGAGCGCACAGTATATTTGAATTTCAGTATTTAGAAATGTCTAATCATCACTGAGAAAGCTACTGCAAGATAAAATGTGTGCCTGATTATGTGTGAGAAGGACTACCATTATGAATCTATGGTATTCTCACTGAGCAATAAACGACTATTAGATATCTATTTTTTTAAGAATTCTTTGAAGGATTATTTATCATTGTGAGATAGGGCAAATTTTGAAATTTTTGCATTTAACTCTATAAAAATGGCCAGAGTCTTTAGTAAAAAATTACACAAAAGGATCTCAATGAGTTTTATGAGGTGTCAAAGGTTGATCCTGATCCAGACAAAATTCTGGCTACTGTGAGCTGCTTGGCAGAGGTCTGAGGCAGCCTGATTTTAGACGAGTCATCTAGGCTACATTAAGATGTCTATTAGACCTCTTTTAGACCAAAAATGCTCAGTGGGTTACTATATATACTTATTTTTAACACCATATCAATTTCAAATTTTTCCAAAAAGACAGTCACTGTCAACAATGACAGCCCTAATCCAGCAGGTGATGTAACATGTTTTTTTTACAGTTTGTTTTGATCTCTGTGTTGTACGGTGTCCTTAGGTGTCCTGAAAGGCGCCTATTAATGAAATGTTTTGTTAGTGTATGGCAACAGAAATGTAAACAGACGTTGGCATGCAGAGAGAAGAAACACAACTTGAAAGCCGTCTGTGCAGTTTTGTCCAAATCAGCCACTATAGTGGATTCAATGGACCTTCCAGTGATAAAGCAGCCATCTAGGTTGTTAACACACAGGAAGAAGCGAAGCTCCTGCATCATATTAAATAATGGACTGTGACTGGGTCAGTACATCTAATGGGAAAGTGACAGTCGCTCCAGACCAACATGCTAGCATAAATGAATATGAGCTTTTTAGTGTGTTTTTCCACACCTGTATGACTGTGTTCCCTGCATTTTTTTTGTCCTCTCTTTTTCTGTCTTGTTTTTCTTGACCTATTAAGACTGTGTGATTTTTCATGTCCCCCATTAGTCTGTGTGTTGCCTTTACTTGTGATAAAAATGTTGCCAAGCTGCTCTCTCCTAATCTCCCCAACAAAACAACCAAAGATCTACAACTCAACAGAGTTATTATCACACCGCGACAAATGTTCAAATTTATCATTCGGAGTTAAATATCTCTTTGTTTACATTCACAGTCTCCCTTGCTATTTAATAATCTGGCTATGTGTATTATTTACATTCACTTTAACATTTATTAAAGATCTGTGCACATTTTGCTCCCAAAAAAGGTAATTCTCTAAATACATTATAACTATTTTAATATGTCCTCTTATTCAGAGCTGAGACCTTTTTGTCGGGAGACGATGATAACATATTGGGATATAATGATCATACGGTTCCTGCCCAGTCCTACACTTAAATACTCAATATAATCTATACCTGTATGTGCAGAAATACTTTGTTCACATCCTTTTTCTCTGCGCCTCCTATGTTCAGAGTTTTCATCTTCCTTAGTAAATGAGAGACAGTAATTTAGCTCTGAATGATCGTGCTGTTTCCTCACAGACTCCAGAGAAACTTCAGACTGCTTCCACAGTTTCACAGGATCAATACCTCAGAGTGTCTGTCATCAATATTTTAAATCACTCTGAGCAGCAGGGACAGGAGAGAGGAGACGGGGGTGGAGATGAAGAAACGACGGAGACAAAAGAGGAGGAGGAGGAGAAGGGAGCTGGATGAGGAAATGAAGAAAGGTTTAACAGAGCTGCACTGACAGACAGAAAAAGAGAGAGGAGACAGACAGTTAGTTCTCTAATCAATCAATCGTTAATAATCACTCTGCTGCCTCACTGACACTTTAACCCGACATCCTGGAGCTGCTCACTCTAAAACAAGAACAAGTTTTCCTCTGAAGACTTCGGACAAAGATGTTTCAGTCTCACTCGATGTTTTAACACAATGAAGACGAGTCAGCCTGTGGGACGAAGACCAGAAACTCTGACTCTCAAGTTTGAGGATCTTCTGCATCAGAGATATCAAAGTGTGGATCTCTACAACTTCAGAGACACTGAGAGAGAGAAAGAGAGAGGGGAGAAAAAAGAAGAGGAAGCAAGGGAAAAGACAACAAGTAGGAAGGTGACAGAGAGAAGGGGGAGAAAAGAGAGGAGGAAGAAGAGAGGAGAAGGAGATGCAGACAAGGAAGGAGAAGAAGGGGGTGAGGAAGATGGAAGAGGATGAGAGAAGGAAATAGGATGGGGAGGTGAGTAAACAGAGAAAGAAAAGAAGGAGAAAAAGAGGAGGAGAAAGACATGAAAAAAGGATAGGGGAGAGAAACGAGGTAGAGGGATAGAGAAAGATGGGAGGAGAGAGAAACAAACAAGGAGATGAAGAAATAGAGGAAGAGGGAAAAGGATAGAGTGGAGGAGAGGGAAAGTAGAGAAAAGAGAGGGAGTGGAAGGAGACAAAGAAAAGAGAGGAGGAGGAGGGGTGTGAAGAAGAAAGGGATGGAGGAAGAGTAAAGACAGGAAAATGACGGAAGAAGGAGAAATAAAGGAGGAGGAAAGTAAGGTAAGAATGAGGAAAAAAATAGGGTAGAATGAGAAAGAGAGGAGAAGTAGACAGGAGGGAGGGAGAAGAAGGAGAGAAGGAAGGAGAAAGAAAATGAGAATGAAGAAGAGAGGTGGAGGAAGCAGAAAGACAGCAGGAGGAAGAAATGAGGAAGGTAGGAGGAAGGGCAAATAAAGGAGAAAAAAGGTGGAAGGGGATAGACGTGAGAAAAAAGAGAGGAGGAGGAGGAAGAAAGACTGAGACCGCCATGGAGCACAAGATAGAGGAGGAGGATCAAGGGGGTAGAAGAAGAGAAGGGGAGGAGGAGATGAGGAAGGATATGGGGGAAGAAGAGGGGAGAAAGGAGTAGAAGAGGAGGAAGAGGAAAAATAAAGAAAGGAGGTGGAAGGAGACAAAGTAAGGGGATGATGCTAATTTTAGAGTGCTAACAGTCGCACACTGAAGCGTTGGCATGCAGTTCATTGAGCATGTGCACATGAGCAACTGAAGCAGCAGCAGATGAATTCTGTGATTTGGTGTTAAGCGGCGGAGTTTATCTATGAAAGAAGAATCTGTGGCAGATACATTAAACATCAGTCTTTTCTGGGTCTCTTGTTTGAGCAGCAGATCAATGTTTCCTCCGACAGTACAACACAATCTCAATCTGTGTCTGTCTCTCTCTCTCTGTGCAGTCGATCATCTCCTCACTGCTTTGCTTCCTTTGGGACATTTCCTGTTTTTTATCCAATCATTCCCCTGCATTCTCAAGTCTGTATGCTCTGCATCATCTCCCGACTACAGGGAGCAGGCAGCCCCAGACTCATACAGAAATAATAATCAATCAGTGAGTGAGCAGCCACAGCCAGAGCTGGTCCTGAATCCAGATAAGACTGTATACGCTCAGAGCTGCAGGACACGCTGCAGCCTGAACAGCATGTTCAGCAGCTGCCTCTTATAGAGACATGAATTCAAATGCAGGGATATTGGAGATTTATTCATATAGCTATTAAAAATTTACACATTTTTATTAAAAAACATCATATTTGTTCATAAAACCACTGTATATCGAAACGTACATATTTCAATATTGTGTATTTATAAAGCTATTGCATATTAATGCATTCATTAATGCATCAGATTTATTCATGGAGATATAATTTACCATAGATAGAATTTAAATGATCTAAAAGGTAAATCTCAGTGCCAGTCCAGTCCAAAACAAGATTAGCACGAAAGAGCACTATGAAGATCTCTTCAAAAACACCAAGTCCATGATGAGCTACAAAAAGAATCTGTACCGAAAAAAAAACCATTAATAAAGCACATGAAGTGTTGACATTAGCCATGTTTACATGGGCAAAATTTCTTGATCCGATTAAAAATTTGAGGGATCAAATAATCTGAATCCACTGTTTATACGGGTGCATAATCAATTCATCCGATCATGATGTGTGTTTACATTCACCAAGTTTTATTCAGATTAGAAGCATTTGGACATGCGCAGAGTTGTCTGATTTCACTAAAACAAACGCAGAAGAAGAGTAGTATTTTACACCTGTGCTGTCAACAAACGAACAAACCGGTGGAAGTCTGCGGTGGAGCAGACACGGCACCTGCGGTTGTGTTTTATGCCAGAGTGTTAATAATGAAACCTCCTGTACTGGCCTCAATAAATAAACAGAAGGCTAAAGATTGAAGATTGAGTCAGGTAAGAGAGTCACAATCGGAATAAGTGTTTACATGGACGCGTTTCGGAATAACAATCCTCATAAATCATCCCTCTCGATCAGAATACGATTCCTCTCCGATTGAGCAGAATTAGATCAGAATCTCCCGATCAGTGTGTTTACATGATGCATTTTTATTCTGATTGGGCCTTCATTCTGCTAATTTGTGCCCATGTAAACGCAGCTGATGATATTCAGGGGCCGTCATGACATTACTGATGCTCCCACCACATACCTTATCATGATGCTATAAAGTGTAATATTGCAGATGACAGTGTTGTGAAAGAATAATTCATGTTTAGGATAACAGAGTGTATACATGCACATGCAATACAGTTGCACGGCACATAAAATGAAATGTGATATATAAGAGAGTTATCTTTGGCCGTTATGCAGGCATAATAAAGCCCAGTGAGGAGGGTTACATCAGATTCTGAATTATGGCACAGGATCATGATATAAAAGTCATGTTCATTTTTTTCCTGTGGCAGGATGTAGCTGAGTTACAGTTTTAAGTCCACAGGTGGAAATAACCTCCTGTGGTGCTCCATGGTGGTCGCAGTCGACAGCTGAAGGAGCTCTGTTGGACTCCATATTGACGTGCACTGAATAGAGATGTTTTTCATGAGGCTGAGCAGTTTCCTGAGCACCCTCCTGTCAGACAATTCCGCTGAAATAATAATCGAGATTTCAGGGTCGATCTTAGGATAGAAGCAGCTTCCCTAACAAGAATGTTGAACCTGTTACCGTTATCCTGCTGCCCCAGCACACTTTGCCACCAGCGAGGACTGAAGACTGAATGTTATCAACAGCTATTCTTCAAAGGAAGTTTGTTGTTACAGCCACGTGCAGTTTTTCAGGAGATTTGACATTCAACAAAGTTTCTTTTTTGGGATTTGCAGAACAAAAATCCAAGGTCTTCTCAGGAGCAGTCTTTTCACATTTGAGTGCTGATGTGTCAGTGCAAATCATAAAAAAGACAGGAGGGGATGATTACTCATAAGCTTGCCTAAAATATCTTTTCTACTTTTTTTTGTTAGTCATGACAGAGTTAGAAGAAAGCAGAGAGACCGCCACAAGAATTAAGCTTTTAGATGAGTGAGCTGAACCTTAACAATTGGGCTGATGAGTAATATTTAATGAATTCTGGGGCCTGTCTATATAAGGCCCTTAAAGTGAGGGGGGATTTTTAAACTTCACCCCTTTTGCAATAAGGGACCAGAGATTTTAATTTGGTAACACTTGACTTGACGCCTATCTAGGCCTGTCACGATAACAAATTTTGCTGGACGATAATTGTGCTACAAATTATTGCACTGTATAACTATAGTTATAAACACTCATAAATGTTCATAATGCTTTATAGCAATATTCATAACACATTATAGCATTTTATTATGACTTACAAGGTCAGGTATTATAATATGTTGTGCTTACTGTTATACAGCCTGATCATAATTAATGAGTGTTTATAATGATAGTTATACAAGTTGATAAGCAAATTATAACATCATAAATATATGTATAATGCATTATCTATGCGGGCATTGTCAGTGAGTTGTTAACAGTTATAACACATTATAACTCCTGACCTTGTAAGTCATGATAAGATGCTTTACAATGTGTTATTGCTGTAAAGCATTATGACCCTTTCTGAGTGTTTATAACTATAGTTATACAGTGCTATAACGTGATTATAATGCATTATACATATATTTATAATGCGTTACAGAGATAGGCATCAAGTCAAGTGTTACCTTTAATTTCAGTATGGGAGTAACATGGGATTGTTTGTTTGACCAAATCATTAATCATGCACCAGGATTCATTCCAGGCTTGACGGTTAAGAGTTGACCTGCTGAGGGAGGTGAAGAGAAAGTTGGTAGTCAGTTCAGGACAAGACTAAGGCATGTATGATTATCTGAAGTTTCTCTGACTACTGTTCTGGTTTGCCAAAAATTTCTTACATGACATGATCTGGACAACTGTCACACATGGCTGCAAATGTTGAAGAGTTTACAAAAATTACAAGTTACGCAATTTGGGATTAAATTTAGAGAAGAGATGTCCTGTTTTTTTTTTTTTTTATGCCAATCTTGAGCAATACCAAGAACTTCTGCTTTATCAGAGTTTAGCTGAAAATAGTTCTCAGAAGTTTAGTCCCCAGACGCCTCCAGGCAAAGAGCCAAGACAATTTAAGGGCTTCACTCAGTTTAGATGAAAATGAAGCTGTGCACCAGCTGTCTAAAGATAAATTTTAGACAAACTTTGCAAAAAAGATGCAGATACAGGGAGAAAAGTAAGGGCTCTAGGACTGAGCCCTGTTGTACACCACCTGAGAAAGAGATGATTGTGACACAGATTCACCAGTTGAGACCACAATTATATATAATAATATAAAAAATAGTAATACAGTTTAAATAAAAGTATATAATGGAAGAAGAAATAACCTACATTTGTACTTGGCAATTGTCTGTTGAATCAGTCTCTATTAGTCTTTTTACAGCAACAGCTTTTAGATGACGTCACTGTCAAATCAGGCCAATTAAAGTCCCTTCTGTCTCAGGGAATTTTTCTCTCAGATTTGAACTGAAACTTTTTCTTGTTTTACTTCATTTGGTTTGCAGCCCTTTTTTAAAAACAGCAGCACGTTTCTGATGAGAGTTTTCTCTGAACAGCAGTGGCACCATTAAAAATGTTCTTATATTCACCACTGTGGCTGCAAAATACGTAAAAATAAATCAACTTCATTGTGCTTTACTTCAAGTATCACTACCCTGTAGCAGACCAACTGACTTATCTCTTTACTATCAGTTATCTTTGAGTCCTGTGCTTAACCACTTTAGATTTCTCTCTGCCTCCCAATTTATGATTTCTGTCTGCACATGACACTGTTCATTTCCACCTTAGATTATAACTCCTCCAACACGTTCACCTCTTCCTCAACATGTTCACTCCCTCCCT